TATCTTCTTTAATTCAATCATGACCACCAACCCCTGTAATTCTCCAACATGTGCAGCTAGAAATGAAAAATTACGCACCATGGCCGGGATTCTCTAAGATCCAAACCTCTCTCTTTCTTTCTCTTCCTTCCTCCTGATTTTCTTCACTTTATGCCCTAGAAAATTCAACAATGTTCTATAAAATTAAACCCCAAATATTCAACATAATCGTAAAAATTAAACGAAAACCCAAGAAAAAATTAATTTCCATTAGCCAATCGCACCTAGCTAGTAGATAAAACAACAGGGTCCAACATAATGTCTCTAAAACAAGATCCATCAAACCTTGCTCCGTCTTCCTCCTTCTGGCTTCCGCCTATTTTAGAGAAAAAACAGAGAAACTGGAGGATAAGAAAAAAATAACGGCAAAAAAAAAAAAGGAAAAAAGAGGAGAAATAAACAAAAAAACAAAAACAGTCAACATTCATATAAAAGGTTAAATCTAATAGAAGAGATGAAAATTGAACCAATTAGAACAAGAAAGACAAAGGAGACAGATATGGTATCCACAGCACATCAATAATTCTATTAAACTGCATATTATGAAATAGTACTTAGAATTATTGACTTAAATGACCCTAGAACCTCGAGATTATGAAATCGATTGGTACAATATTCCACCTTAGAAGAAGCCTAAAGTTACTATTCTGATAAATAACGTGGTGATAAATGTTACTGTCAAATTGAATATGGTGTGTAAAATTTCCAGAAAAGACAAGTGGTGTAATAATTTAAAATAAGTATTTTATAATAATAAATATAATTTCAGCAATTTATAATCATCAAAATTCCCAAAAAAAAAAAAGTACTGTAATAAATACACAAAACACTTAACAAAACAATATTGTCAAGCATCCTATAGACCTCAGAAACTCAGCTGATTTTTGCATTTGTTCCAGCTGTAATAAGCTAGATAAAATATGTTTTCTTGCCAACTCAAAGCCTTTGCCTTGGGGTTCCTTCAAGCACATAAGAAGGTGGTAGTAATGCTGCAACACACAATGAAAAATGAAGTCTCATTACACTGTAGGTTTGATTAATTAATGCAGCCATCAAATTGAACAAAATTTTGAGGCAAAATATTATTATATGCCAATAAATTCTTAAGCAAAAGCTGTACCTTCCCTGAAAATTGCAATTTAGTCACTATGTTAGCGAATTTGTATCGGGTATTACAACCAAAACAAATTTTACACATGCATTAGCACACAGCAACAGAAATAGAGGCATGGATTCCGAAGAATATTGCAGAGCTTGATGTCTTCCGTAAATAAATAGACTTATAGACATGAAAGATCAAAGGCATCAATAAGAACGATTGTCCTCTCAATATATGCAGAGAAGGCAAATAACGAAAAACATCCAGGGCCATTGTATTATACTGTATACAAGCTTAAGTGGCAGAGCCAAAAAAAAAAAAAACCAAAATAGCACAACACTCAAATCTCTCGTCACATTTCTCCTGATGGTCTGATGTAAGATTGGCAATCAGGGGAATCTATAAAAGTAGCAAGAGTATATAAGGTAAGACCTTACGAAACCATAAACGGCACAACAGAGCTCAGCAAAAACCCTCCTCTAGATCTGGATTGGTCTGCAACGGTTCTTGAACTGCATTCCAAGAACCTAAGCATTTCAACAGTAAACCAAACTACTTATAACAACATTAAACACTTGACATAGGTTGCAGTAAGAGCAGCAAGCATCATGCATAGCTTTTTCCTGAAGACGTTTACAAAGAATAAGCAAGTGAACCTTTCAGCCATTCCATATTACCAAATTTAAACTATTTCTTTAGATGAAATAAAGAAATCTAATATACAATAGAACCTTTCACAATTAATAACAGTCACACAGACAAATTGCTTAAACATAAACCAAGTCTATTAAGAATCCAAACAAATCTTAGAAAAAAATTCAATTAACTAAACAATTGCACAGCTAAATCTGAAAAGACTTGCAGCTTAGAACAAAGGCGGTTAAGCCACAATATGCCTAAACTAAAACCAAAATTTGCACGCATTTGATAGAAAAATAAGCATTAAAATACAAAACCCAAAGCAAATTTAAGGACTAAGAGATAACCAAGAGAAAATCCTTGCTTCCCAGGAGTCCGGTAATATCAACATTGACTGTAGTTTGGACGTGAAGAGGGCAACAGCAAAAAATCAATTCAATCCACCATAACAAATTTAAAACAAAAATCTATTTACAACCCGCAAAATTACAAGAAATAGAGGATTATGCATTTATATCAATGGTAAAGTATGGAAAAAGATGACAGTTCAGCACTTGACTGTAATTGTGAGGGGGTGAGGCCCGTGAGGATGAGAGTGAGTGTGAGGTTAAATGCAGTTTTTTTTTTTTTTTTTTTTTTTTTTTTTTTTTTTTTCCACTTTTCAAACAGGAGGTGACAAGAGTAGCTACATGCAAGTTGTGACTCTTAATAGCATATGACTAAATATTCATACAATAACAAGGAGTTGTAGATAACTAACACTTGTTTTGGACCAATAATATGATGCATTAAAGTTAAAAAGCTAATACTTGGACATAGACAAATCTGTACACAGACATCCCTCCCAAATACATACAAACCAACCTAAAAACGATGTATTAAAACACTTTGAAACATGTACCTGAGCAGAAACACCCTACCCAAAAAGGGAGGAAGGGAGGAAGGGAGGATGGGGGGGGGGAGGGAGAGGAAAAGCATACCATAATTCAGAAAGCCCCTACTTTGGCAAGGTATGAGCGAGAAGAAGACAAAGGATGAATGAGAACAATTGCCCAATGCAATCAGCACCAGAAAAAACCCCACGAACCCAACAATTTAATAGTCAATTCAGGATAAGAAAATCACTCACTTGCTCTTCAATTTGCCCCAAAAGGTGGATAATCATCTCAAGATCTCCCATTTCTCAAAACCAGCCTACCCAAATTAGCTCATATCTACATAAAGCATATAACATATGACACAAACATCATAAAATTCACAAAATGAGAACACCAAATCATGCAAATCAAAGATAAAAACACTCTAAACATGTTCCAAAAAAACAACCAACAGAACTATAATCAAGGGAGACTAATACTAAGTTCGAATTTCACAAAAAAATCGCCTAACTTCAACTGATCTTGTTTCTCAATCAATCAAAGTAAAATTCCATCAATTCCACAAACCACAAACAAACATCAACAACAATAAAAAAAATTCTAGAAATGAAATAAAAAAAAAATATAAAACAACCAATAAGACCTGAGTTTATCCAACTCAAACTCGAGTCCACCAAACCTTGCTCCATCTTCCTCCTTCCGCCTATTTTAAAGACAAAATAGAGAAACAGGAGGACGAGAAAAAAAAAACAGTTAACATTCATATATAAAAGGTAAAATCTAATTGAAGAGAATAGATGAAAACTGGATCAATTTGAACAAGAAAGAGAAAAGAGAGAGAGAGAATTATACCTGGAGATCAGAAAACCATTGTCCACAATCGTAACCTTAGCAACCGCCCGAAATCGGAAACGCTGAGAAGAATCGAAGCCCATAACCATCGTTGAAGGTATGATCGGTGGTTTTGAGCTCACCGCCATCATTGGTTTCACTCTCCTTGTTTCCCCTAAAAAGCAACTCAACCTTTTTTCTCTGAGATGAGATGATAAGAGAAGAGAGACATCGAAGGAAGTTGGTGGGAGAGCAGCAGGCATCAACCAATTAGGAATAAGGGGCAGAATTGGCAATTCATTAATGTTGGGGGCAGTGGAGTAAAAGCACAAGAAATTACTGTTCCTAAGCACAGTGAAGAGTGAATAGTTGGGGGTTTCAACTTTTATAAGGGTTATAGATATATGATAGCCGAACTTAGATAATGGCTTGAAAATAATGTTAATGGACCTCACTTGAAAGACCATTTGGGCTTGAAATGTAGACGCATCACAAACCCGTTCATACGCGACGCGAATTAATTCCACTTGAAAGGAAAAGAGAGGAGAGTTTCGAACCCGTCACCTTTATGTCAGGCTGGCTTCGTTTAGATTACCCAGACATAATTATAATCATTCTAATTCTAATTCAAATAATAATACCAATACCCGCCCACTCCATTATATATATGCATATGGGCTCTCCTTACCTAGCCCAATAGAATGTATGGGCCTCCCACCGGTCCCATACCCTACTCTCTCTTCTCAGCCACGTAATCTCAGCCCTGGAATTCTTGGGCCAATATCTAGGCCATCTTTTGTCCCGTAGCAGCAGTAGGTTTATTCTCCCTATGACTTTTACAGATTTAAGTCAGGCATTCTCTACATTAATCTTGCCGCAGTACGACCTCGCATGGTATATGGATTTGGGAGCTACTTCTCATATGACTAATCATGTTGGTAATCTCTCTCCTATTTAATTTAAGCAATAATAAATCTATTTTAATTGGTAATGGTGGTAGCATTCCAATTTAATGGTTCAGATCATGCTTCTTTGCCTAATAATGTCTCTCTTACCCTTCATAATGTCTCTCCTGGCTCCTCATATTACTAAAAATCTTAATTCTGTTCGCAAATTCAGACTTGATAATAATGTCTCAATAGAATTTTATCCTCTTGGTTTTTCTGCAAAGGATCTTCAAACGAGGAAAATCATAATGAGATGCAATATAGTTCAGGCGAACTTTACCTTGTCACCTCATCCAGTTCACCTTCATCCTTTTCCTCCATGTCTCTTGTTGCTCTCTCTTCTTACACTTGGCATGACAGATTAGGTCACCTTGGTGCCCATGTTACTAGCTGTTTTAGATCTAAACATTTAATTCATGTAGTAAGGAGTCTGATTCCACTATTTGCACTTCATGTCCTTTAGGCAAACATGTTAAATTGTCATTTCCATCTTCTTTAACTGTTTGTTTCAAGGGAAAAGCCTTTCCCTGAAAATAGTTTTCCTATTTTCTACTATTTGTTTTGGACCGGCCCATAAAATGAAAAATAAGTCTAGAAATTACTTTTCCATTGAGGCCCAAATATTTTCCCTAAAAAATCAAGGTATTCCTATTTTCCATCGTTGCTCGCTGCTCTCTCTCTCATCCTCAAGCTCGCTGCTCTCGCTCTCTTATCTTCAAGATCTGCTCTCACAAGGTAATTTCCAATTTATTCTGTTTCCTTTCTTTGATTGTTTGCTTCTTTATTGGATTCAACTGGTTTGTTTGATTCAACTGCTCTCGAAATTCTAGGTTAGGTTTGTGATTAATTAGGGGATAATGAAGAATTCTGGATGATTTTTTGCTATTGATTTGGGAATTAGGGTTTGCACGTAAAATCAATTGCTGGAATTATGTACTTTGGCTGCTTCCAGTGTAATGTGATGAAGCTTCTGTGTATGAATGTGACTATTTGATAATCGATAATATGCTTATTTATGATGTTGGCTGTAAATTTCCATTAGCGGCTAAAATTCAGCTCTAGTTTGGACTTCTATCGTTTGCTTTCTTCTAGTGTAGTTTGAGCAAAATTGATTTCAGCTTGCTGTTTGTATGTGCAATGATGTGCTGCTGTATGAAATTGGTGGTGAAAATTCATGTACTACTTTGCTAATTGAGGCATTGGTATATATTCGTAGAATTTAGCAATTGTTGTTTTGTTGTTTTGTTAATTGTTGTTGTAAGTATGTTGTTGCCGTTGAGTTAGATTGATCACTTTGATAATACCATCAATCATCATAATTTTCTTTTTCCAGATTAGTATTAGTTATGGAACCGGAGCGTGGATTGTCTACCCAAAAATCATCTAAGGTATAACTTTGCCCAAAAACCACTATCGAATTAATATACATATAAGTATGCTTAACCTTTTGTTTTTTTGATGGAATTGATATAGATGACTAATGTTACTAAAGGCATTGTTATTGGCGCTGCGGCTGCTGTTATTGCTTGTTCTCTTGCTTTTCTTAACGAGCTTAGGTCTAAAACAAGAAGGCTAAGAATAATTAGGCAACCCTATATTAATAGAGATAGTCTGAGGTCGGAGATTGTTAATAGTGTTTTGTATTGTGGTGATGATACTCATTGTTTGGGTCAGATTCGTATAAGGCCTCAAGCATTTTTCAATTTGTGTAATATTCTAGTTGAAAGAGGACTTTTGAAAGAAAATATTCGAATAGGTGTTAAAGAACAAGTAATGAATTTTTATACATTTTAGGGCATAATGTAAGATTTAGGGCATAATGTAATGATAATCATCTAAGGTGTTAAACAACAAATTGAAAGGAAGAGAAAGCCCATTGTAACGGCGATGTGGACTGTATACAAGAAGGCTCGAATTTGATGGGCTTAGCATATGCATCTTTAGATAATTAGTTCATTAATTATGTATTTTATATTCTATAACAGTTTATATTTTTAAAGATAACATTTTCAGTGATTATGTATTTTTAGTGATCAGTAGTGATGATGTAAATAAGGCATTTGCTGACTCTCCAATTGAAGTTGCTGATAAAACATTAGAAAGTTGAACTTGTTCTGTTGCTTATAGCACTCAATTAGTGGATGTTACTCTGATATGTTATTATGTTATTATGTATTTCTTATATGTTATTATGTTATTTTTTTTTTCAGATTCTAATGCTACAGTGAATGTTCGAGGTTATAAAAGAAGATAAAAAGGTCAACTTTCGTTGGTCAAAGGACACGTCAAAGGAATTACTTTTCGAACAAGTTCTTTTGTGGCTGCTGCGAAGATTATCTCTGAGAAGTTTCAAACCAATTGCACCTCAGAACATGTGGAGAATCATATGAAAACTGTGAGGAATGCATGGGTGGCTATATCAACAGTCCAAAACAACTCCGGGTTTGGATGGAACGATAACTTGAAGATGGTGACAGCATCTCCCACAGCATATGCTACTTATGTTAAGGTAGTGTTGTTTTATACACCTTTTCTAAACATGTTGATTTGTTTACTAGAGATTAATGGGATAATGTTTGTGATGGTGGTGCGCTGCTTCTTGCTTGTGTTTGGTGTGTTGCGGTATGCTGTTATTGTTGTAGTGCCCTGTGCTGGTGGTGAGTGCAATGTGGTGTTCTGGTGAGTGCAGTGTAGGTGTTCTGGTGAGTGCAGTGTAGGTGTTCTGGTGAGTGCATTGTACAGTGTGGTGTTCTGGTGGTGTAGCCTTCATTCCTAGTATTATATATACATACATACAATAAGTTTTTTATTTAACCAAGCAACTTGCTATTGTATTAGACGACCCTAATAACGTTTTATTTTTGCAGGAATATCCAAAATATGAAAAGTTTTTGAATCGAAAAATTGATGTGTATGAGGAGATGGCTATAGTACTGGGTAATGATTTAGTACGGGGGAACTTCTCCAAGACATTTGCCAACATCGATGTTGATGCTTCAATGGAAAGTGGACAACCAAGTATGACTATTGATAGCGTGCCTTCCAAGGCTGAGAGTGGTACCTCGTTGGGCTCAAGGCCACATCGAAAGAGGTCTCGAATTGACGAAGGATCGAAAATGGAACACATTTCAGCACAACTTCAAAAAGTGGTTAGTGCTATTAAAATTTTTTCAAACAATCAACTTGATGTGGAGAAGCTTTATGACGAAATTATAAAGATGGAGGACATTGAAGAAGGGGTGCGTGTTGCGGCTTTTGATCACTTGGTGGAGCGCGAAATGCTTGCAAAAGCATTTTTGACAAAAAGCTTGCCACTACGCAAACTTTGGATGGAAAAGTTTGTCAAAGACCATAAACATTAAAGTCTGCTTGCTGGTAGTTTGCTCTTGCTGTCTTCTACTTTGCCTTTTGTTTCCTGCTTCATGTTGCTGTTCTGCTATAACTGCTATGCTGCTGCCTGGTGTTTATGCTGCTGCTTCAGGCTGCTGGAAGCTGCTTCTCCTGCTCCCTGGTTTGCTGTTGGCTGTTATATACATCCGTTTTTCTTTTCTTATTTTTTTGTTGTTTGTTTGGCTTGGGTATATGTATTCTTGGGTATTAGTAGAAGCTTTTTATTATTAGTTTGAAGTGGTTAACATTTGTAGATCAAATATGAATAACTATAGAATTTTAGCTCTTAAATCATTTACAAGGGTGTTTTTCATGTTTTCTTATTATTAGTTTGGGTATTTGGAAAATAAATTTCCAAACAAACAAAGGAAAATGGGATTCTTGGAAAATGAATTTCCTTAAAAACAAACAAAGGAAAACTAAATCAAATTTGAGTTTTCCTCCAGAAAATGGATTTTCATGGAAATTCATTTTCCATTAGATTTGTTTTCCGGCAAAACAAACGGAGTACTACTTTCTGTGCGTTTAATATTGTTCTTGCTGATTTGTGGACTTCTCCTATTCCTAGCATTAATGGGCATACATATTATCTTGTTCTTGTGGATGATAATACTAATTATGTGTGGACTTTTCCTCTTATAAATCTTAAGCTTGTAAATCACTTCTCAATTTTCTGTCATACATTCATACTCAATTTTAAGCCCGTGCAAAGTACGAGTTCATGTTTAAATTACTCTATAATTGGGAACTTATATGTTACACCTTGAGTATTATTCTCTCTAAACTAATGTCAGTATAAGCCCTAGAGTACGTATTGAGTATCAATTAATAATTAACAAACACAAGGAGCTGAAATTTATTAGTATAATTTACAATGTACATGAAAATGGGAACAAAAGATATATATTCAAGTCATCAAATTCTATGATTATCGTGTTAGGAAATTCGAGTTCTCAATAGTTATTCGTTGGCTATACAAGTATTAATATAAAGACTTTGTCATAAGAATAGATTATAGGCTCCTATTAAAGCCTTATAACTCTGAAAACGGAAATTAGAAGAAATTAAGGATTAGAAACAAAAATAGAATAAAATAGAAATTAAATGACCATTCATATAATTCATCCGTACCATAATCTTTTGTGCATTTGAGTTTTTTTTTTTTTTTTTTATTTTTATTTTTATTTTTTTTTATTTTCACTATTTACATGTCGAGAAAATTTCTTATATATCTAACAATATATACAAATAAATATAGTGATGTGGTGTCTTGTTTGATTCGTATTGATATAACCAATTATTAATACGAAGTATTCAACTTTTATAACTTTTACAAATATGAAATTATAGACATTAGTGATATAAAATGTATATTGGAAAGCATATGAGCAATAAATACACAAATAATTATGGAACGAAGAAAGTAATATTAAAAGGCACGATCACAAGACACAATAGATAGTAAGTCCAAATAATTAGTAGAATTACAAGATCCAAAGGAGATCAAACACATGGTAGCAACATAAAGTGATGCTTTTCTAAAAAAGTTGCAAGATGAAGAGATTGAGAGTAATGATGTGAGAAAGAAATAACGAATAAACAAAGATAAAGGAAGGTTCGTTGAAAATTTAATTTGCCATGTGAAGATGACTTGCCACGTGTCTATATGAGTGAGAGTGAATTTGAGTGAGTTTTCTATGATCTTCATGTTAATATTAAGTATAAATATAGATATAAATATCGATAGATATAGATTTTTTTTTTTTAATTTTTTTGATGGAATATATCATATATTTCTTTATCTAAGTTTATTATATATAGCTTATAATGTGAATTCCTATATTGTACACGCATTTGTGTGCGCCACAAACCTAATATATGCATCTATGAATAAATAAATAAATAAATAAATATACTAAAAGCAATGTTCACCCCTTAAAAATATTTCCCTCTTAAAATCCATTCATTTTCCCTCCCAATCTCCAGTTCTTTTTTTTCGTCTTTTTGATTTTTTTAATTTTTTTTTTTTTAGTTTTTCAACAATTCTACGAACTTCTAAGTTCTAATTAAGTTATTAGAAACTTGGATGACTTTTTATTTTTTTTTTAGAAAATTAAACCAAATTAAATACTACGTACATTCTTCTTTTATGGAATATCTTATGTACAAAGTTGGATATTGAGAATTGATTGATTTTGTCATAATTTTTCAGTATTACCTTTATAAAATCATTATTTTTCAAGATTCCCAAATGAAAAAAAATAATTTTGAAAAATATTAATTGATTTATCATTTTTTTTGTTTATGTCAATGGTTATTAATAATTGTGAAATACCATATTATTAATATTTTACTAAATACTCCTTATGAAATTTCTCATTTAAAAATAAAAAATTCTTCATTTAATAATTGTGAAATATCAACATTATTAATATTTATAGAATATGTAATTTCTCAGTGGAAAATAAAGAATTCTTCATTTATTGATATTTGATAGATTGAACATCCAAGCATTTGCTCGGGGTTTTATCCAGTATAATATGTATACTTCCTTCGTTTCTAAATAAGTGTTACACTTTGATATCTACGCTTGCCACACATTACTTTGACCATTAATAACTTTCATTAGGTATGAGTAAAAATTATACTTCCTCCGTTCTTTTTTTATTGCATCATATGGGTTTGGGGGCAAAATTTGGTAGTGGAAAACTGTAAAAGGGAGAAACGTAAAATTACAAAATTGTTCATATAATGTAAAGATAAAATAAAAAGTAAGTGTGAAAAAGTAAGGGTATGTTGGGTATTTGCAGTGTAAACATAGATATTTTTTGTCCTAAAATAGAAATGATGCAATATTTGTGAAACTTCCTTAAAAGGCAAGTGATGCGATATTAAAAGAACGGAGGAAGTATAACAAGTTAATATTATGAAAGTATACAATGAGACGAATCCAACGACGTATCATATAGTAACAATTAATTTTATTTGCCACTAGATAATACATGGTCAAAAGTAGTGGGTGAGCAGAGAAAAAGTCAAAGTAGTGTACCACTTATTTAGAAATGGAGGAAGTATATATATTCATAACAATAGAATTTGCATGTATTAACCAATTTAATAATATGATAATATGTTGATAATATAATATTGTATGTCTATATTACAATTTAAGTGATTTTATATTATCAAATAAATTAAGTATCATAATCCGAACATTGATTGGGTAAGAAACTAGTTCTAATAATAATGACTAGGTTTATGGCGCACGCAATGCGCGCACAATACCAGAAATTCAAATTAAAAGTTATTACTCCGTTCGTTTCATAATGTTTTGTGCAAAGTGGTTTTTTGACACTTTACACGTAGAGAGAATCTTTGATATAATTATCAATATATAAGAATAAATATAGTCATGTATGTGGGGTCTTGTTTGATTCATTTTAATGAGTACATTATTAATATTCAATCGCTATAATTTTTACACGCATGCAATTCTAGATAATAATGATATAAAATGTGCATTAGTTTGCGTAATGAACAGTAAATGCACAGAATATTAGAGCAACTCCAATGGTTGGGAAAAGGGACTAACTTGCAAATATAAAAAATCTTAAGCTATTAGCTATACCATTGTTGCACATCTTGTTGATTAGCTTTGTCAAGCAAATTTGCTTTGTAGAGCTAATTAACTTGGTAAATATTTATTAGATAAAAATTATTATTAAATTAAAAATAAATTAATTTACAACTAGCTTAACCATTGGAGCAACAAAAAGTTAGAATTGTTATAGCTTATGAAGATGATGTGGCATGACAAGCTATTTAAAAAATTAGCCAGCTATTGTAGTTGCTCTTATGAAACGAAGGGAATTTAAATTTTTAAATAAAAAGATAAAAAATATTTAAATGCAGGGTCAGTTGAAATTTGGTAGTGAAGTTAATTTTATTGTTACATAAAATGGACCAAATGGAATTTATTTTCCTTGTTTAGAGCTTGTATTTTCCTTTAAAAAATGAAAAAAAGGTAGTAATATAGAATTATTATTATTATTATTATTATTATTATTATTTAGTGGGAAGGGGTATTTTGATCCACTTACATTTGATAACCAAGCATACCCCTTCTCTTTGTATTCCACAAGTACTCCATAAACTACTTTCGTTTTTCATTGTAATATGTTTATCATAAATCAAACAAGATGCAACCTAACTCTAAAGCCATAATTAACTTGAACTGACTTGTTACTAATTCTATAATGAATTGCACAAGCAGTCTAACAATCTATCTAGCTTCATTCACTTTCAGTAAAAAGAACCACAATAGATTATGGTCTTGTGGACATACATTTGTGAATATTTTCTTGTCAATTATACATGGAGAACACAAAGAGCAAGTATACTACTTATATTTACTCAAAAACTAACATTGAGAATCCTTTGCACACATGAATGAAAATTAAATTGGCCTTATGCATTAGCATAATAACATCCTTTACGCCTGCACACAAACTCACCATTAAACATCAATGTCTGTAGACAAGGAAACCTTGTGCTACCGTCCGTTTAAGTGTGTAATTACTCGCCTTCTTAATTAAAAATGTCATGCATTTAATTAGCTTCATTCCTCCATGCCTGCATTTAAGGATCATGCTGTCATATTTAATATCTTCTGTTGTCCCTTCCAACAGGACTTCATATCTGATCTACTGTTCATGTTTAAACACCCAATTTTACCGTGGACACCACCACGAGCATCATTGCCAGATTGTTGAGCCCTTCATGTCTTGAGGAACTTATTTTATAGTAATGTACAGCACGCCCTTCGGATCATGATACAGAATTGGTAGCGGAATACTGTATTCACAATTAAGTACCCCTACATGATTTTCAATGGAATTGACTTAGCACATTAGCTGGTATGTTCGTTGGGTGTTCAAAGACAAAGCAAAAACATTTGAAAACGGAGTTACTATTAAGATTAAGCCAACACCATTGAGCATACATAACAACGTATTCTACTGAATAATTTATCGGTGTATTCATGTGCAGTATGATAAGGATCAATTACAATAATCTTCTTAAAAATCAATTCAATTAGTTGGCAAGTTATTGAAAAGGAGACATTGTGAAGCATAGCTGATTGTTTTCCTTTATAAATAATGAGACAATGCTGCCTGTTAACTAAGATGGGATTAATTCCTTCTTTACCTTTGGCATATATAGAGGAAGAAAGAGAGCAAATCATAAAACCAAAACTTTGTATGTTGTACATTTTGACCTTTAGATAAACTGGCATCTTACCACGCCTGTTTTTCCATTTTTTCATCACAAACTCACCACATTGCAGATCATTTGGATGAGTTGATAAGTATCAGTGTGTCAGTGTCAATGAGTTGCTGAAGCTTACCCATATAATCGGAAAACCTTATCCCAAACTCAACTCAATAGAATTAGGTTGAAGAAGTGTTGGGTGGATCTATAAGGCTAGCTCTTCAACATTTGTGCCACAGTTTGAGATGTCACTCTTGGTTCTATCAAACGAACATCTCAAAGACGTACAGTCAGTGCTCTGAAGAAAGGTGTAATAATGAGCTCAACATTACTAATGAAATTACTAATGTACCAAAAGCCCGAAAAACAACCAAGAA